AAATATGCAAAGGTTTAAAGAAAATTAAGCTGGCAGCCAGCAGGATTCGAACCTGCACGGGGAACCCCAACAGGATTTCCAGTCTACCGCCTTAATCGCTCGGCCACGACTGCCACACCAACAGCCGCTCAGACAGCTGGAGAAGACACTTTACCTATAAAATATGCAAAGGTTTAAAGAAAATTAAGCTGGCAGCCAGCAGGATTTGAACCTGCGCGGGGATCCCCAACTGGATTTCGAGTCTACCGCCTTAATCGCTCGGCCACGACTGTCGCACCAACAGCCGCTCAGACAGCTGGAGAAGACATTTACCTATAAAATATGCAAAGGTTTAAAGAAAATTAAGCTCGCAGCCGGAAGGGCTCAGCTTTTATTAATTATAAGTTAATCGATTTATTAAATTAAATATTGATTCCAAGCGCGTGTTTCCACTTAGAAAGATAAGAGTTATGATTAAGATTCCAGATTCCATAATATTAATAATAATGAATTAAAGTCTAAAAAGTGGAAGACAATTTTTTTAAAAAAATCCGCTTCTTAATATATTAATATAAGGATGTTTCTAATAACAGTTTTTTAAATTAACTGGTTTTGAATCAAATCGGTCAAAAGGAATATACGAGATAGTCAAAGAGAAACACTCCCGATGGTCATTTTCTGTTAACTTCAAGATTGGCATTTTGGTAATTTTTAATCTTTAGATCAATTACCTTTTCAGTACCAGGGATTTCATCTTTTATTTTAATCTGCTGGCCCTTTCTAATTCTGACATGGTCATTATTTTTAAACTACAGTACAAAATTGTATTAACTATAAACTACCTTGGCATTATCTTTAGCATAATTATTAACTGGTTACCTTTTAGGATAAAGCCACAAAATAAAATTATTTTATTTCCTTTCATATTCCTATTCCTTGCTAGTTCCATAAATTTTCTCCACTTTCTGTACTGCCCTCATAAGCTTAAAAGACTTATCTCAGTTTTCAAATTTTTCCTACTTAGTAATGTTTGTGAGAAGCTCGCAAACATTACATTCTTTCTTTAGTACTTTTCTACTATTTTTTAATAAGATACTATTTCTGCTTAGGGATAATGTTGGGCAGCTGAAAGACATTGCTTAGTAGGAAAAATCTGATAATTAAAAATAATTGAGATACACCTTTTTACCTTAGGAGAGCATAGGTAGGCATTGCATCCACAACTCCACCTTCTATGGTTCAAATGTAATTTCGTTATATAAGAATACAGCTTTATACCATGTTTAAAAATACCTATTGTACTGTATTGCAGGAAGCATTATCAGACTTATTTATAAAAACAACACATTTATTTAACATACTACAAAATCAACCTTCATGGTATGACGGGTGCAAATTGCCTCTTCATTCGAGAGATTTCCCGTCAAATTTGACGTGTTTAAATAGATATATATGCGAGAGAAATGTTTAACATTGATTGAAAACAAATAAAATAAACATAAACAAACTATATCACGCGCATGATATACCACTGACTTAATCTACTACTTTCTATTAAAAAACGGAAATTAATTTGAAATATATGATTAATGTAATTTAAAATTTCGCGGGAACTATTGATCGTAGCGAGATAAATTTTATATCAATCGATAGCAAATTTCGTTTCACTATTTTAGAGCTATTAAATATGAAATTAGAACGGCACTTACTTTAAAATTTAAAATGACTGAAATTTAGGTTCTCTAACAATGAAATAATGCTGTTTAAAGTGCTATGTCACCAGTTTTATTGTTGGTAATGTCAGAGCATTACCTAGAGACAGTTCTTGGCTATTATATTTGTAATTTTTCACAAAAACAGATCTTTTACTAAAACTATGTACAGCATCTCATTCGTTACATTTTCTTCACATCCAATTTCAATTTTTAAAAACTAAATATATTTTTTCTTGCGTTGCTAAGAAACGTTCGTTAAAGACAAATATAGCGTTGCCACACTAATTCTTTATTACCTTTAGAAATATTTATATTTTTTGTTACAAATATCACACTATATACTTCAGTGCAGTTTTAATGATGTTGCCGAACAAAACTTTGGTGATATTAAAACTGGTGATATTATGTTACTGAAAATTTTCCCCATTTTCTTGCGTTCTTCAGAAGAATTTTTTAAAAATGAATTTGATATAGAGAGCCCAGTGTCCACTCTAATGTAATAATCTCAATAACTTATTTCTAAATC